TTTTTTTTATGGTTTATCATCCTTTGTAGGCTATTTAAAACTGGAAAATATCTTGTCAGATTTTTTTTTTTTTTTTAGATAATAATGGTTTAGTGGTACAAGTATTGTTAATTAAGCCTTAGCTGCGGGGAGAAGACATAGATTTATACCTAGCCAGAATTTGATAAACGAAAAAAATTATAATGTGGATATAAAGTGGGTGATCAATACTATATTACAATCAGTATATAAAATGATCCCTCACTTTGCAGCCACAATAGTTTCTATATATTTATATTCCAGAAAGTGTAAATAAATTTAAAAGACATGTCTGTGTAGCTAATCAGTCTTTCATTGCTTGATTGGTTTTCTGCAGCTCATCAACCTTTTAAAAGTTATTTAAAGCCAGAAAATATTTTTAGATTGTAAAAATTTTTGGGAGATAATGAGTCACCTCCGGTGGGCAACTCTGAGGCCACATTATGATGCAGGCTCTGTCAACTCCTCTCTGCTCATGTCACGGTCGAAAACCATCTGTTTCTCTTACTTCAGGCCTTCTCTTCTTCCAACAATTACTCCACATGAAAACTCAAAAGAACCAAAAAAGTAAACCTAAACCAGCCCCACAAAAATCACCTAAACCCCTCAACATTTCGTTCTCCAACATCCGTGGCATTAGAACAAATTTCTGCAGTATGGAATCTTTCCTCACTATAAACTGCCCGGACATACTGACTCTGTGTGAGACAAACCTTGTCTCGTCTATTCCCTCCTCTGATCTCTCAATCCCCGGCTACCTTCCTCTCCTTAGGAAAGACTCTCTAACCCACATGCACGGCCTTGGTGTCTATGTCAAGGACCATCTCCCTCTGGCCAGAGAGTTGTCTCTCGAATCACCAGACCATTCGTACATGTGTTTCTGACTATCTCTCCTCAATGCCGTAAGCTATCTCTTCTTCCTCTATCACTCTCCATCCTCTCAAGACTGTGGGATACTCGATAGCATATCTGACAGCATAGACAAGGCCCTCTCTCACCACCCGTTTGCTCACATATTCGTGTTTGGTGACTTTAACGCCCATCATACCAAGTGGCTCGAGAATGCTACTACTGACCAGGCAGGCATTCAAACACTTAATTTCCCAATTTCTCAATCCCTCACGCAGGTAGTTAACTTCCCCACGCATTTTGCCCTCAACCTGGTAGGTAAGGCCTCCCTTCTCAATCTGTGTTTTACCTCCATCCCCGAATTTTGTAGCGCCATGCAGCTCTGCCCTCTTGGTAACTCCAATCATACTGTAGTATCTGTTAACTTTTCCTTCAACTCCACACCCCGCAAAGAACCTCCCATCACTAGAACCTCGTTCTACTATCAACAAGCGGATTGGGACTTGTTCCGTGACTTCCTCCGTGATGTCCCCTGGGATGTTGTCTTTACACTCCCTGTCCAAGAATGTGCTTCTGAGGTCTCATCCTGGGTTAAAGCTGGAACCGACGCTTTCATCTCCTCAAGGAAATTTAAGGTCAAGTCGCACTCCTCCCCTTGGTTCTCTGCTACTTGCTCAGCCGCCATTGCCCATAGGAACCACTTCTTTCACCTATTTCATAGCGACATGTCAGACTGCAATAGACGTCTCTTTGCCTCCACCCGTAATGAGTGTAAGCGTGTCCTCAACGAAGCTAAGTCAATATTTCCTGCTCGGATGAAGGAGCGTATTGCATCTCGCAAATTTGGCTCCAAAGATTATTGGCAGCTTTGCAAGAGTGTCCTGAACAATAAAAAACCCTCCATACCTCCTTTGTTCAACCAGTTCGAGGTCCTGACCTCCTCTACCAACAAGGCTGAATGCTTTGCTCGGAAATTCTCATTTAATTCAATGCTTGACTCCTCTCGTGTACCCATACCAGACTTCCCTCTAAGAACTGAGACCCTATTGAGCAGGTTACACATAACCCCGTCATTGGTATTGGGCATTATCTCCAATTTAGACCCCCACAAGGCTTGTGGTGGAGATGACATACCAGCCATTGTCTTGAAGAAATGCGCACTTGAGCTAGTGCCTGCCCTCTCTAAACTATATAATTATTGCCTCAAGGAATCCTGTTTTCCTGACTGCTGGAAGTCCTCATCCATTGTTGCTGTCTTTAAGAACTCTGGAGACCCCTCTGACCCATCTAATTACCGTCCTATTAGTCTCCAACCCCACTTCGGCAAAGTCTTCGAAGTCGTAATCAATGCCGAAGTGGTTAACCACCTTACATCCCATGATCTGCTCTGACAAGCAATATGGTTTCCGCTACGCCCGATCTACAGCTGATATGCTTACAGCCATCACTGAAACTGTCTACCAAGCCCTTCAAAATAACGTTGAGGCTCGTGCCGTGGCCCTAGACATCTCCAAAGTGTTTGATAGGGTTTGGCATGCCGGCCTTCTTCACAAGCTCCAGGGTTATGGCATTACGGGTCGATTGTTTGACCTAATACAATCATTCCTGTCAAACCATGAATTGAAGGTCATTCTCAACAGATTCTCCTCCAGTTCCTATCCCATGAACGCAGGTGTTCCCCAAGGCTCCATCCTTAGCCCCACTCTATTCCTTATTTTCATCAACAACCTTCCTGATGCCATAGATTCCCAAGTTGGCGTCTACGCGAACGACACTACAATTTACTGCTGTCTCAAAAACAAATCTAGTGTCAGTGACAAAAACTAACCTGGCCGTGCGTCTTGAAATGGACCTCCAATCGGTTGTTAATTGGGGCAAGAATTGGCTGGTCAACTTTAATGCCTCAAAAACTAAACTACTCTCTATTAATCACCATAGAGATCCTTCCCTGCCCCCCATTAGAATGTCTGATAGTCAACTTCTTGAAAGCAACTCCCTGTGTCTGCTCGGTCTCATGTTGACTGCTGACCTGAGATGGAACAAATACATCAATTGCTTCGTCCACCGCGAGGAAAGTTGGCTCTCTGTGCCGCACCAGAAAATTTTTCTCCCCGGAATCGATACTTCAAATATACAAATCAACCATTCACCCTTGCATGGAGTATTGCTGCCATATATGGTCTGGGACACCTTCTGTTTACCCCGGAGTTCTTGACAAGATTTAGAGACAGATATGTAATATTATTGGCCCTGATCCTGGCATCTCATCTACAGTCACTCTCTCACAGACGCGCCGTCGCCTCTTCTGTCTTTTCTACAAATACTTTCATGATAATTGCTCCGATGAGATGCTTTTACTGGTTCTCAGACTCCATGAATTCAAGCGCCCTACGAGGCTGGCATCCCGCTCACACCCTTACACTGTAGAAAATTTTAAATGTAGCTGTCTCTTCTACTCCAATAGCTTCATACCTCACACCTCTCGCCTGTGGAACACCCTTCCCTGAGAGCTATAATCTCCAACTATTGAAATGTAATGTAAATCGACATCTCCAGTTACCTTGATCTATCCACTATCCATCTCCTTATCCTTTCTTCTATCACTCCTATCTGCTCTTGCTCCAAATCTTCTGCAACCCCCTGCATCCTAGTGGCTTCACGCCTTGCTCGGGGCATAATGCTTAAAAAAAAAAAAAAGTCCTAATAATTAACTCCTAGCTGGGGTGATAAGAAGTGGATTTTTCTCAAGAGTATTTGCATGTAAGTGAATTTGCATGATAGGAATTGGAACTCAGTTCTCCAATTTCCAATTCTGAGCCATTATCCATTATACCACCAACACATCCAAGTTCACAGCTGCTGGTACTCCTAAGCAGTTACCCATCTAGGTAGTTACCATGCTCAACATTGCTTAACTTTTGTGATCATATGCAAACTGATGTTTCAATGTGATAGTGTTGCAAGCCTATCAATTTAGAGACCTTAGTAAATCCAAGTACTTCAGGTAATATACAATGAAAATATTATATTAAATATATATTGAAATTGAACACAGAAGGGTTAATAAAAAAAATAAGGAAAATAGTCTGAGGTGAAATACTTTTATACAAAAAATTATATATCCATTATTTAATTATATATTTATTATTTATAAAAAGTCCTTGGTGTGATGATAAACTACATCCAACAGCAAGGCCTCTGATCAGGAGATTGGAGGTTTTGATGAGCATGGAACCACCTCTTGATTGTTGTCATTTCCGTGTCTACCCTGAACCAGGGTGGTAGCACCTGTTAGGGTCTCAGTATATAGTGAGCTTCCTGCCATCCAAACAAAAAAATTTTGAAAGTATAAAAATACATTTCAAAAGTAAAAAATACCAGCAATACTTATATAAAAAATACCAACAATAAATGACCAACAATACATTTTATCTGTAGTTGAAGACATACAATTGTGTTCAAAATATATTTAGTTGAAGCCAAAAAATTCTGTTCAAATTATTTAGATTTCAGCATTAAATGGCTCATAGAGGTGTTGATATGGCACTAAACAAAATCAACAGGCAACATAAACTCTTTCATGACATTAATCCATATAATATCCTACAATTTCTTTAAGAAACTGCAATCCAAAATATAACTTTAACAAAACTACAACATATCGCCGCCTCTAGTAATTATGTCCACACAAACATATACATGCACAAAAGCTGAGTATCATCTACCATGTATTCAATTGTGAAAGCAGAATAACATATATTTTTATTACTACAAAGCTAAAATTTAATTTCAGCATTAAAAGGTGTTGATATGCCATAAATCAACTATTATTTATAAAAACGATATATCTATTCAAACTACACTTTATAGTAGGTGTTTTCATGTTGGAATGAGAGACAAACCCATGTGAGGAAAGTGTGTTGGAATATGGGGAATATCCTTATCAGATGCTACAGTCAGAAAGTTCTTTATTTTTTATCTTTATTATTGAAGATATGTTTGCTGAATTTGAAATTAGCCCACTCTGGGTGAGATCTTTTTTTTTTTGTTTTTTTTCTCTCTTATTTCATATATTTGATACCATTTTAATAAGTTTCTCTTTCTCATGGTTTGTAATTTCCTTTGCTTTGTAGGGTTGAAAATTCATTGTTCAGGAAATCCTGGCCACGGATCAAGATTCATAGAAAATACAGCTGCTGAAAAATATGTAAATATTCCCAGAGTTGCCTCCCTTTACATGATTATTATTTTTCTCTTATTTTTACAAGTGCTAATTTTTATTTTTCCGTTTTATTTGTATAAAAGTTGGTTAGGAAAGAATATATATGATCAAAAAATGCACAAAATTTTATCGTCTAAACCTTCGCGTTATTATTAAGATAAAATAACAAAGAATTTTTTTTATATTAATTTTTTTATCCTTTTTAGAACATTGGAAATTTTGGTTAAAAATCATGTTATTTTTTGTTTTTTATTTTTCCGTCAGCACATGATCATAAATTTGTACATGAAATTTGAGTGTCATTTTCGCAAAATTCTAGCAAAAATCAGATACTTGTCAGATTTTATTGAAACTTTCAGTACTTACTCTAAGATGAATGAAATTATTTTTGAAATGTTTTTAAATTTTTTTTTTTTTTTACATTTGTTACCTCCCACTCATTTAATTTTTATGAAATTTCAATAAATTCTTTTCTGTTGCGCTTATTTATATTAGTTATAAGGACAAATCCTTGCAGAATTTAAATTATCAGGTTACAGAAATCTGCTTTTAATCATAAAATAAAAAAATGTAATAAAATTAAGACATTATTTAATTAGAAAAGCTTTTAATTGCTTTTATGATTAAAATATACTATGTGCATTATTGTTTTAAGAAAAAATTTTTTTGATGAATTAGGAAATTTTACAAGAATAGTTTACATTTTTTTAAAAATTAAAATAATTTATAATTTTTAAATCTTTTAAAATTCTGTATTAATTTGTCTTGCTCAAGCAATATTGTTATTAAATTAAAACTATATTTACTAATCATAAATGGAAAAACTTACTACAATTCAACAACCCTCAATATTTAAAAAAATGTGCATAACTATTGATTTTTGTAAATATGGAAGTCCATGCACAATATTATCATAAAATAAGAATGGTAACTATAATAAACATAAAATTTCTTGGTAATTTCCTAACATTTCCTCAAAAAGTGTCTTTGTAAATTAGACTATAAAACCAGAGTACCTAAAATTCAATAAAATAGATTACTTATAATATTTTCTTAATATTTGAATATTATTGTGTAGTTAAAAAATTATATAAAAAAGGCATTCACATGATATTTGTCAAGTAATTTTTACAGTCATTTAGCTCTTAGTTAAATTTCAACATGAAGTTGTCAATAGAGCTGCCAGCACTTCATAAAAGTACCCACCTGTTAAAAAAAATGCTTAATGTGATATTTTTAATTAAAAGTAAGTTATATTTGTCTCAACTCAGATTAATTAAACTTTAAATCAGTTAATTTTTCTGAAATAAAATTTCTGAAAAGTATATTTAGTTTCTGAAAATTTTTTTTTTCAATAAAGAAAATTATGTTGTGCTGACAGATTTGTTAATATGGATGATTTTAGCAATGTTATTTATAATCGGAAAAATAAATTGGTTATTTTAAATTTGGTTTTAAATACAATGTATTTTGCTTATTGAAAATATTAAATTTAATCTATTAGCTTGGAATTAAAACTAAAATAAATGTTTCAAGAAAGATTTTTCATATTTTAAAATGCATTTATAACTTAACGTTACTTTTTTTTTTTTTTTTTTGGCTCCCTGATTCCTCAATCCAAGCCACTATCCATTTTATATCTATATATAAAAATATTGGTATAATGAAAGTTTTCCTGAGAAAAATGTCAATATTACCAGTTACCTCCCTTTATTTGATCAACACTTTTCTGATATTTTTCATTCTTAATTTTTATTTCAACTGTTTTATTTATGTAAAATTATATTTACTGAAAATTTCATGTTTTCGTATTTGAACCTTCTAATAAATGTTAATTCTTAAGTTAACGATTGAATAAGCTCATAGCGAGTTCTATGAAAATATGCGTAGAACTTTTCCCTTTAACCTTTAACAATTTTAAACAGTTCTATGCTATCTTTCCTTTTCTCTTTCATTTTCTGACTGAAACTAAGTAGTGTCTTTTCTCATCTTTCTACGTGATCAAAATGGAACAGTCCATTATTTATGAAGTATTGTCAGAACATTAATGGTCGTCTGAACTAACGAAGGGAGAGACAAAAACAATTAGGATGATAAACGTGTCTCCTGAGAAAAAAATGTAAATATTTCTAGTTACCTCCCTTTATATGATCAACAATTTTTCTGTAATTTTGACTTATTTTTATCATGTTTCATTTATATATAAAAAAAAGTATGTTTAAAAGAAATTCTTTTTTGTTTTTTAGAGAAAAATTATTAATATATTTCTGGCCTACAGGGACGAGCAAGAGAAAAGGTAAATGTTATTTTAATTATCAGAATTATCTGAATTACTGTCTTTCACGAACCAAACACTAATTCAAGATATTAGTTATAAATTGCATCCTAAATACTTCTATTCTTATTGTATGAACAGTTTGAAGAATAAATCTATTTATAGGCTCTCAAAGGAACTTCAGTTTTATTTTTTAACAACTTTGTCAAAATTTCCACTTTGATAGTGTATATATTTAAAGGTTTTGGGGATATTTACCAAACCCTGTTGTCTCTTTATGAGAAATACCAAGGTCTATAATTAAAGAAAAACCCATTACTATATTGGCAGCTAGGTCTCCTCATTTTACATTTGAAATGGCTAGATGTAACTGTAAGTTCTAAGCTAACAGTTTCTTTCCTTGCACTTCTCGCATGTGGAACTCTCTTCCGGCTTCTTGCTTTCCAGTCAACTTCAATCTTCAAAAATTTAAGTGCAATGTCAGTCATTATTGTCTTTATTTCTGTTCTTTTATCATTCTCTCTTTTTAATAATGTTTTTTTTTCCCACCTTCTCACTCAGTAACTCTTTGTCTTAGTAGCTTTATTGCCTTGCTTGAGATGAAATGATCAAAAAACTCTACTCGATTAAATTCTTAAAACAAGGAGAATGAAGTGAATTTATTTTAACTCAAGATGAGATTTCAGTCTGAATTTCTCGGATGAGGAGTTATCATTATTTACACTATTTATATTCAAACTATTGTCCTCATCTTTGTTCTTGTTATCACAATGTTTCGACTGTTGTGCCCCCTGGCCTTCATCAGATGTATATCAGTCTGGGTAACCTACAGGGAATTCTTAACTGAATGTTGGTGATCATACGGAAACTTATGTTTCAACCTGATGTGGCTACAAGCAGTAAATTACTGGAGTTTTTGTAAACAAAGTGTTCAATTTCTGTCTGAATTTCTGGGTTGCGAAATTATCATTATTTACATGGTTTATAAACATTTCGGAAATTGTGCGCTCTGGTTTTCCTATGTTGCATATTGATTTGGGTAAACTACACGTTCAGTTCAGAATTTCCTGTAGATTACCCACATTGATATACACCTGAGGAAGGCCGAAGGGTTCAACACCCGAAATGTTATGACAACAACAAAGATGAGGACAATAGTTCACATATAAAGAGTGTAAACCCAAAAGGTATATTTCAGATTTTAATTATTTTCAAAGAACCAGCATATTTTCTGTATTTTGTCCATTTTGAGATAGGCTCACAAATCCGTTCCAGAAACTAAGACACAAAGTATTCAAAAATGTTATTTAAGCAATAACGAAAATTCTTTTTTAATAGTCAGTCACTTATGTGTCATGCATGATACACACTTAGGCGATCATGTATCTTTTGATACATGACTGATGAGGCAGATTTTTTCCTGCAGTAGGTTGCCATTTCTTTCTGCAGTAGACCAGTTGCCATCCAAGGCTATAGAACCCAGTCTATCCTGCTATTTACCCATAACTGGGGGGAGAAGAGGAGGAGTTATACCTTTCCCAAGGGTATTAGCATGTAAGTGAATGTAATGGATTTGATTGAAATTCGAACTTGGCTCCCTGATTCCTCAATCCAAGTCACTATCCATTATTCAAAATGCATGATATTGCTATGAAATGGAAAAGATGATATTCAGCCTTGGACTGTTTTGATTGTAATGTTTCTTATGGTTTATCAACCATTTGTGGGTTATTTAAAGCCCCCAAAACATATAAGAACAATTTTTTTTTTTTTTTTTTTTTTTTTGCAAGTGAATTTTTTCCTTAACAATAATTTACTTATATCAATCATTTTCTTCAGTTACAACTCCTATTTAACCCATAGCTGGGGTGGGATTATAGGTGGTTAAGTGATTGGCCCAAGACATTCTAGCTCTCATATATTTAACTTTTTGAAGGCAAACATGGAGCCATAACTCAAGAAGAATTTGAATGATTTCAGAAAGATAAAATTATATGCAAAAATGCTGCTGTTAAATTTGGTAAATTTATCAATAAATGGTTTTCAAAAACTTTTCTGAGTGAAAATAAATAAGATACCCTTGTGGTGTTGGGTTAAAAACAGGCAAGATTGTTTTGACTTGCATAAAAGGTGTGTCAAAGAAGAGTAATAATACCCCAAGGCATTTTCCAACATAGATGTATATTTTATTATATTATTATATGTTTATTTTTGTCTGTTAATATCTGCCTATCTCGATGTTGTTCATATCTGTCACAATCAGTTCATATGTGTGTCTGTATCAAGGATATCATTTTAAAAATGCATTCTGTGGTGATACCAGCTACAGAGTTCTGGGATCTGGCATGGTATTCTTCATGAATCATCTACAATGGAGTTGTAGTACATAACCTGTAACTTCGATTGCATCCAATAATTATTTCATTATTTACATTATGTTTACTGTTATCCTCATCTTCATTGTCATATTCACAACGTTTCAGCCATTGTAGACTCCAACCTTCTTCAGGTGATTGGAAGAAGCCTGGAGCATACAACGGCCAGAATGTTGTGAATATGGCAATGAAGATGAGGATAAATCTGAATAATGTAAATAATTCAAGTAATCATAATACCTCATCTCAGAGATATAGACAGCCTCCAATAATGTAAGCAATTTCTTTTTGGATAAATGCTCTCATTGTTCAAAGTGTGACCTTTGCTCTGTGAAGGGTTTCCCTCGCTTTAAAAAATTTCAAGCTTAGGAATTGCTAATTAAAGAGTTTGTCATAGCCGAAATAGGCATTCAAACTCGGTGAATGTTAATGTCAATATGGTAGGGTCTATAGTTTCTGAATTGGGATTAACTTGTCTGATGAAGAGTTAGTTCACCTGACTTGAACACAGTTGACCTTTTGTGGAGCATTCTATAACCAAACCAAACTAGTAACATTCTATCATCACTGAGTAGTCTGAAATTTTACATATCCTGATGAACATGAGGTTACTTGCTTTGAACACTTATTGGGACTCAAGTTTCCCCACCCACCCAGACCTCAACTGGAATGCCTACACAATCCATGACTAAAGATGCTGGAAAAATGATCAGTTACTAGTACTGCTTCAGTAAGCACATGGCTTCTCTTGATATGCATTATCTTTGCAAGAGCCAGATCAGGCCAAAAATGGAACATTGCTGCTATATATAAGTATATATTTACCCTGGCCTCCCTGCTGAGATGGGAGTGACATGAGGTCGGGTTCGATGTGGGAAACCCGAGCATGTACACTTGGGCCAAGAACAAAAATTCTCCAAGCCCCCACAACCATCAATTGTGCTGACTGTGGTGCAAGCACCAATCCCTCTCTCTAGTGCAATGAGAAGTTGCAGCCTCGGCATCTGTTCCCCAGGGCTGGGCACCTTTACAGTATGATTTTCCTCAGTTGTGTCTCTGTCCCCCTGACAAAGCCACTACTGAGTCACACTCTGCCTGAAGACAGAGGCACAACTGAGAGATGATAAGACCTTACCTGATGGGTAGGAGCTTCTAAGTCTTTACTTTACTGGGACTGAAAATAAGAAAATTTCTATATGTAGATGCTTTTATACTCTACTGAGTTGAAAACGTCTACATGGCCTTATGGGTGATGAATTATTCCCCCCCCACCACCACAACTCCTGTTCCACAGATGAAACTTTGCAAGCCTCTCACTACTCTATTGCTATTTCCATGGAAAGTGTTCAGAAAAGTACATTCCTTAATACCACTAGTCCTAACCTTCACAGCTAAGACCCACCCTGCCACGCCCATTGTAGCAAACCATCCCCATTCCATATTCCACGAGTAAGTTCCACTTGAACAGCTTCTTCCAACAAACTGCTACTTTGTAGAACTGACTCCCAAGAAGGTACTTACAACTACACTCTTAACCTATTCAAGTCTTAGTCCTGGGTATGACGATAAACTAAATCGGGCAGCAAGGCCTATGATCAGGAGATTGGAGGTTTTGGAGAACATGGAACCTCTTAATTGCTGTTGTTTCCATGTTCATCCTGACCTGGAGTGTTAGCACCTGTTAGGGTCCCAGGTTTGGGTAAATAGTGACTCCCCCCACACACACACACAAAACAAGAACAAAACACTATGAAAATATAAAAATAAATTTTTCTAGTAAAAATACCAGCAATACATCTTCTACAAAAAAAAGAACCAACAATACATATTTATAGTAAAATTACCAACAATACACACATACTAACAAACTGTATTGACTTCACCCAAATCCGATTAAAACAAAGTCAAACAACCAACATAAAAGAACTTTCATGACATTAATCCATATAATATTTGAGAAAGTTTTAAAGAAACCTTACTGTATTCCAAAATATAACTTCAACAAAACAACATAAAACACACATATCACCGCCTCTAGTAATTATGTCCACACAAACATGTATATTCACAAAAGCTGAGTATCATCTACCATGGATTCAATTGTGAAAGCAGAATAACAAAACTACAACATAAAACTCACATATCACCGCCTCTAGTAATTATGTCCACACAAACATGTATATTCACAAAAGCTGAGTATCATCTACCATGTATTCAATTGTGAAAGCAGAATAACAAACCTGCAACATAAAACACACATATCACCGCCTCTAGTAATTATGTCCACACAAACATGTATATTCACAAAAGCTGAGTATCATCTACCATGTATTCAATTGTGAAAGCAGAATAACAAAACTACAACATAAAACACACATATCACCGCCTCTTGTAATTATGTCCACACAAACATGTATATTCACAAAAGCTGAGTATCATCTACCATGGATTCAATTGTGAAAGCAGAATAACAAACCTGCAACATAAAACACACATATCACCACCTCTAGTAATTATGTCCACACAAACATGTATATTCACAAAAAAGTATCATCTACCATGTATTCAATTGTGAAAGCAGAATAACAAAATACAACATATTCAATTAGTAATTATGTCCACACAAAATGTATATTCACAAAGCTGAGTATCATCTAAACTGAAACAGAATAACAAATAACATAAAACACACATATCACCGCCTCTAGTAATTATGTCCACACAAACATGTATATTCACAAAAGCTGAGTATCATCTACCATGTATTCAATTGTGAAAGCAGAATAAAAAACTACAACATAAAACACACATATCACCGCCTCTAGTAAAAACAAACATGTATATTCACAAAGCTGAGTATCATCTACCATGTATTCAATTATGTGCAACATAAAACACACAATCACCGCTCTGTAATTATGTCCACACAAACATGTATATTCACAAAAGCTGAGTATCATCTACCATGTATTCAATTGTGAAAGCAGAATAACAAAACTGCAACATAAAACACACATATCACCGCCTCTAGTAATTATGTCCACACAAACATGTATATTCACAAAAGCTGAGTATCATCTACCATGTATTCAATTGTGAAAGCAGAATAACAAAACTACAACATAAAACACACATATCACCGCCTCTAGTAATTATGTCCACACAAACATGTATATTCACAAAAGCTGAGTATCATCTACCATGTATTCAATTGTGAAAGCAGAATAACAAAACTGCAACATAAAACACACATATCACCGCCTCTAGTAATTATGTCCACACAAACATGTATATTCACAAAAGCTGAGTATCATCTACCATGTATTCAATTGTGAAAGCAGAGTAACATATCATATCTTTATTAATTTAAAGCTCCCAAGAAAATAAAATTTTTGCATTAAATGACCCAGGAGTTGAAATGCAATTAAACAAACGAAAAAAATTTTTTTTTTAAGTCTTGAGGTAACTATTATTTTCCCCCATATATACTCATAAACTTTGTCTCTTACCTCTTGCTCTGTAACCCTCTAATTTGAGTGGCTCTTGGGATTTGTACAATATTATTAAAAAACTATTTTAATTGTTCAAATGATTACATATGAATGATTATTTTTTTTTATTTTATTTTTTTTTTAAAGGTTAAAGGCCAACAAAGGTCTGACCTTAGGAGATGTTACTTCAGTTAATCTGACAATGGTGGAAGTAAGTCAAGAAAATCCTTTTTATTATTTTTTTGGTTTCTTTGATAAGTATCTACTTTGTAGATGGTATCTTTAGGACATGGACTGTTTGAAGAAAAAGAGCATTTACAAGCTAAAAACAAACTGTCTACAAATTTTTTTTTTTTTTTTAAATATTTACCATGACTATTTTATCAATAAAGTGTTGAAAATTGATTTTAATTTTTGTCATGCTTAGTAAATATCTTGAAACAGTTTTTAAAAAAACTAAATATAGATGTTTTCGTAAATTTTCATTTTAACACCCGAGCCTCATTTACTGCAGAACTATTTTCCTTCAGAAATTAGTATGTGTTTCCGTAAAGCTTTTTTTTTTTTTTTTTTTTTTTTTTTGTACTTAATTTAAGAATAAAGTTAACTTTCAAATATATGTAAACATCAACAAATAAAAGAATAACAAAAGAAAAAAAGACATCTAACCCTAATTTGAAAGTTAACTTTCTTCTTTAAAAAAAAAAAAAGAAGAACCAAAAATAAACACCTAACCCTGATTTGAACGTTAACTTTCTTCTTTAAAAAAAAAAAATAACCAAAAAAAAAACACCTTACCCTAATTTGAAAGTTAACTTTCTTCTTTTAAAAAAAAATAGCCAAAAAAAAACACCTAACCCTAATTTGAAAGTTAACTTTCTTCTTTAAAAAAAAAAATATCCAAAAAAAAAAACACCTAACTCTAATTTGAAAGTTAACTACAAGGAATTACTGTGAAGGGAGTAAATAGGCCCAAATTGTATACGTCCACCGACAGGATTCAGCACTTAATTACTTATCAATAAGCCACTAATGGTCGACGAAAGACCAGGAAAAAGTCTGATTTTTTTCAGGTCGTTAACATCCAAAAAGATAGGTTTCTTTAATATCTAATTGTTGCTTTGAGTTCAGCATATACATAACATATAAGGCTATTTGGGAAAAATTTAAAGGGATATTAGCACTCGGGTGTTAAAATGAAAATTTACCGATTTTTTTCTTTAATAGAATTTAATTTTTGGAAATTTAAATAATATGCCACTACCATCCCATAATAGTTGTTAAATACACAATTTTTACACTAAATGACATGAACTTTTTAAAGAAAAAAACTGAGGGAATAAAGAATTGTTAAATTTAATGAGTCCCACTTAAGCAGAGAGGAAATTAAGAAGTTTTATGCAACAAACACTGGGAGAATAATAAATTGTTCCCTTTAACATTATTTGCTATTTATTCAAGATATGTCTTCCCACTCCAGTTGTTATGCAGGCTGCAGTGAAGACAGATGATGCAAGCTCAGAGTGATAGAACATACAGAGAAAACAACATTGTCTCACCAAAAACATAAAGGAGACCACAGACATGTCCTTTTACCCACATGGGGAAGAGGCAGTTTATTATTATTTATGCAATACTACATCTGTCCCATAATAATTGCTCCATTTGCTTACACATTTCATACACTAAATGTACCAACTATTATGGAACAGAAGTAGTCTAGTATTATCATACTTATTATAAAATCCAGGTTGTGTGTGTGTGTGTGTGTGTACATTTATATATTGGATCGGATTTCCTACATTTTTCAACCGATTTCAACAAAACTTCACAGGACTACGTAAAATTACCTTGCGGTGGTTCTGACAGCACCAAAAATTGGAAAAACACAATTGTTTTTGCATGAAATCAATTTGAAAACATGATTATCACTGTCGCGAGAATGAAAGGGGGACAACTCACATCGAGTTATACATAAATTATTATAAAACCCAGGTTTGTGTGTGTGTGTCTGTGTCTGTGTTTGTTTATATATGGGATCGGATTTCCTACATTTTTCAACTGATTTCAACAAAACTTCACTTTTTTTTGGCAGGTAGTGTTTCTTATTGTCTTGCACACTTTTTTCTTTATTTTTACATTCAGAATGCTTTAAAATTCCATTTACAAGACAATTGTTTATAATAAAATTCTATTCAATCATAACGATTGAAAACAATGTTTCTGTTTGAGATTGGGTCTGACCAATTCGTAAAAAAAAAAAAACAAACAAAACAAAAAAAATAATTAAGACATGCGTGTGCGTCAACCTTAAACAATAATCTTTGTCAATTTTATTTTTCAGTCTTTATGATGGTCAATACTTGATCTATCTCTTACTGTTACATCCCCGGGCAAATCCGGGCTCTACTGCTAGTTATTTATATAATACTACTTATGTTCCATAATTGCTCCATTTACTGACACATTTCATACTCTAAAAACATCAACCAAATTCTTTGCTTAATCTTAAACACTATTACAGAAATTATATTTTAAATGTAAATCCTTAAAATAATCTTTTACTGTTATTTAAGCCTAAAATTTTTAATCTTTTTCAGGGAGGCCAGCAACCAAATGTCATCCCATCTGAATTGTGTGCCTGTAAGTGAAATCATTTCTTACTCAATCCATCTGGTTGATAGATAAGATTCTATTTTCCCCAATGTGTCACAGTTGTACTTGACCAATAAAATGCTAATTCAACATTCATTGTAATATCAGTTTTTTGAAAGAAAGTCATAAATATTTTAAGTTTACAAATTTAAAAAAAAAATTTTCTTTTTTGTTTTCTTTTTTTAAATATTCATGACATTTGCAAAAATTGATATTGCTACAAATGCTGAATTAATATTTTAGGGGATAATGCACTGGGAATCTCTGTCCATGGCACTGTTTGACCTTAAATGATCTCTTGCTGATCGATGGGTCGTTAAGTTTTAAACAAACAAACAAACTGTCCATGGGCAGGATTAGTGGAGTGGAGCAGCATCATGACTGAGTGTCAAGAAGATTGTTTACTTAAACTTTGAGGGATGAGTCAGCCAAGGCGACTTGGGAGTTAGATCTAGATAATTGTGAATGTACTCAGAGACAATCTATGTTGACTGGATTCTCCAACCTGAAAGTATTTCTAACTATGCCCTTCTTTGATCTAAACCTGTTGCCATATTGTGCGTACTTAGCTCATCATTCTAAAAATAACCTTGTCATTGGTGATGATAGGAAATAAGGATGTTTTATCATCCCTGAAATAAAGATAAAAAATTTTGTCATCCTAAAATGACCTTGCCATCAGTGATGAAAGATGAGAAAGGTATTTCATCATTCTAAAATCTGAACTTCAAAATTATAAAAATGACCTTTCCACCACAAGTGAGGGTAGCCAGGTCAGTCAAGTAGACTAGGGTAGCAAGTAACAGTAGTAAAAAGGCCCAATACACACGTATCCTCATCCCTCTGGAAAACTGATTATCTCAAACGTTATCCTCACCAACAAAATTCTCAGAACAAGCAAAAACAAGTAAGCAGAAACTTTTAAGAAACAAAAAGAGACAATAACACTAAGAACTTTTTTTTAAAACACGCCATACAATACCTGTAATTCACATCACGAAAAAGAAAAATACAAATTCTTGTTATTAATGTCAACATGTCTCAAATCTTATTGTTGTTATATGATTGTATGTTTTTATTTATTTCATTTTCAGTATAAAAAAAAATATAAAAAGGATTCCTCTATCAACTACTACTACAAGTATATATAACAACAGAGTAACTAACATTACACATACCTAACCAGTAACACAAATAAAATTTCTGAGATCCAGCACTCAGATTATTTTTAGCCCCTAGTCGGAAAAGGAGGTGCTGGGACAAACAAACTTGTCTTAAAAGACTTTTTAAAGAGAGTGTCTTACTTGACAACCCTTGCGATCGAGTGTGATTTAACGTGAGAATTAGACTTTGAGGAACTCATCGCACATTTTTACTTGAATGAAAGTTCGAAAAACGCACTTTTAAAATGGTTTGGAACTGCTTCTAGTCTTTGTTTTTTTTTTTTTTTTCAATAAAATACTGATTTGTAATTTTACTCTCTACTTTTTGTAAAGAAGCCTCCCCCTCCAAACTCTTAAAGGTATTTTCTTGAGGCCTGGCACATTTGTGCTGGTTGTCCTCCCTTCTCACCACCACTGTACCTAACATCCAACCCCATTACAGGGCCTTGTATATTTGTACCTCAGTGTCTCTTTGTTGGCGTGTTGCCCTCTCACTCAATAATAATGATGTTGATAATAATAATAAAAATAGTAATAATAATAGGAAGAAGCAGAAAAAAAAAGAAAGAGGTTAACATGAGAAAAACTTTCTAGAAATTGTATTATTCCAGATTGTTTTCTTTTCTATGAAAATGAAATAATAAAAACCAAATAAATGGAAAGATACAATTATTACAAAGATAATTAAAAAGGAATTACCATATTTGCCAGCCTGTTGAATGTGGATTAAAAAAAAAAAAATGTATCACAAAAAAAGATGACCCTGCATACAATGCAGTATTATATATGAGTGGTACATGAAGATCACGAAAAAAGTAGGGTCCACCAGGAATCAGTGCCCCGCAAAGAGCTTAGCCCTGAAACTAGGACTCCTGGAAGTCAACAAATATATCACTAAAAATATATCCTTGAAAAATTCACCCAGGAAAAAGAAATTTATGGAATTGCCCAATATTTTGCTGTTTGTTTTATAGAAATCCCAGATTTTACATAAATATTTGCTTTGACTGGTTTATTGCTGCTTGCATTGTGTGTGTTTTTGTTGATATTCAGGTATTGGAATTGTTTTTTCTGCGTATATGTGATGGGACTTCATTTACAACAACTACCATATTTCTGTTTTTTTGCCTATTACCATATGTACCAGTGTTCACCAATACCAATAGATTGTAGCTACTATGAATTTACTGTATATACAGATGTTGCTCCCTGAAAAAACTAAAACAATTTTCAATAACATGAGGAAATGTTTTCAAAAATGTCATGAGGAAATTAAACTAAAATTCTATTAAAAAAAGTTTTTGTATGAAAAATGTCCATGGTTAGTAAATTAAAAATGTCCTGTAAATTAAACCTTACCTCATTTCTATTAAAAAAGTACCAGTTGTAATAATTAAGTGTTTCTTCATGGTTGCTGAGAAGGTCACATAAAATGTCCTGTAAATTAAACTACCTCATTTCTTCATGG